ACAGGCCACCATAACACCTCGCCCCTAACCAGATCATATGGGGTGTCTACCACCAGGGAACCAACATCACAGCCCGTCAGCAACACAGTACCCCTACAGCTTCATCGCCGCACCTAATGGTACTCCCCCGAAAACCCCGGGACAACTTTAGAAAACAACAACTCGAGAAAAACAAGATTGCATGCGAGATATGAAATTAACCCCACACACTCTCTTTCCTCCCTTCCAATTTCTTCACGCATAACCACTCCTGCCATGCTCCACTCACACGGAAACAAACGTGATCCTCCCCTTGGCGCAGGGGGGATTGTTCCCTGTGGGACGAATTTGCGGGGGATCTCCCGTGCCGTGCCTGTACTGTACTCGAGTACTAGTGCCGGTACAGCATTTATCGCGTGGTGGCCTTCCTAGACTGCTCGGCCTCCTCGGGATCCTAGCGCTCCGCGAAATCACTATATGGGGCTGTGGTAGTGGTAGTAGTCAAAAGTGCGGTACGGTATGGCGTCCCCCGTAGCGGTCAATTTGCTGAGCCGATATCATACTCGTACAGTACAAGTACAGATGATCGAATGGAAGCTTTAGAAAGTTTAGATCTCACTTCCTACAATTGTATGAGTGATGCGGGGGTGTACTAGAGTACGGTAGTACCGGTACCGGTACCGTGGGAGAACCTAGCCCCGACCCTCCAATCAGCCCAAGCGGTACTTGAAGGGAAATTATCCGTCAGATTTATAGGGGTCAATGTCACATTTGGCGGCGTTACTGAGTACCGATGACTGAAATTCGGAAATGTACCGATGTTTGAGGGTCGGTGAGGCGAAGGGGGTCTTATTGGCTCGTATAATAGGTCAGCACCGTATATGGTGAATCCACTCAGGCAGGAGGAAGAGCGGGCCCGCCTGACTTCTTTCCACATTCAAAAAAAAAAAGAAGGCCAAGATTGGCCCCTCACCCGGTTGCACTCCCCAAATTTGGCCCAGTATCGTAGTTGTAAGGACTAAAATCGCCTCACTTATGTTCAACTTGAAAGTACTCGAGTATGATACGTCTATAGGAAGTTGGCTAATGCTCGAGCTGCCGGATTGGAAGTTGGGCTTCCGACTGTGGCACGATATTCCCGGAATGCACTAAGAAACGCGCAAAACGCAGGGCCGATCTAGGAACTTGAGTAAACAGTTATGCCCAGTGAGGATAAGACACTGCTCCGTACTCGTGTTGCATAGTACGAGTACGGTACTTGTACCGGTATCATACCGCGGATCAATTGTTGTCTGACACATTGTACTCGAGTACTTGTGCCCGAGTTCCCGTTCCTCCCAAGGCCGGGCAACCCTTCCAGAGCAACTGTTGGCCGGGCTCAGAGAGAGCTCTCTGAACTCGCATAACGGTACTATGTGATGCATCTTATTCCCCCCGGCGGCCCACCAACCAATGCACCATAATTCCTCCTCTACATAACAATACTGGTATCACATACTCCCCCTCAGGAGCTCCACCACTTCCACCACCCATACGAGCCACAATAAGCCCCACCGCTCGCCCGCCCGCTCCCCTGCACTTTTTAAAGAGGGCAATATGAGTGACAGCCAATGACCACAAGATGGATACCGTAAAATACCAGCAACGCATCCAGTGATCCCTCCTGTAGCTAATCTAATCTGGTCCAATCCAATAAAACGATCGCTCAGCATGAGCGAAGGAGCGCGCCGTAATTTCGGCATGATCATGATCATGATCAATCAATAAGTATTCATAGGTGGTGGTGGTGGAAGCGGTCGATTTTGAAATAATGGGCGTGGGGTGAGGGGTTACTATCTTGAGGCTTTGACAAGTTAAGCGACAGATGGAGGATTTCCTCATTCAAGTACAGCATGGTGGGCTCAAGTAATCCCCCCCCCATGTTGTTGCATTGCTCGAGCAGAGTACCGGTACCTATATGAGTATGTGCTTCGGGAGAGGGATGTCGGTAATAATGCCCGTACTCGTACCGCCCCGCAGCAATAGATATTCTTTCTTCTTCTTCTTCTTTCTCTCCCTTTCCCTTCCAAAGGATTCCATCGACGTGTAAGAGAAATACGATGGTCCAGTGATTCTTGCCGATGGGTTTGCCCACCGTATGATAGGATGTGATGATAAAGTTACCAACAGAGCGCGGGAAATGTATGCCACTGCTGCTCTCCGCTGAAACGATGGATGGTCTACCCCTCCCGTTCACCGGGCTCGGAGAATGGACTACTCGAGTACTCGAGTACAGCACCGTTTACCACTAGGGGATAGATACAAGTGACCCATTCAATCGTTACAGGCACAGCAGAGCATAAACGGCAATTAGGATTGGTTAAATATTCCCTCCGTTTTCTGCCGCTTCGCTCACCATACTCGAGCATGCGATTTCATGCTGCTTCTCGCTGTTGATGCACCGTTGATTGGCGGAGGGTAGGACAAGGGTGGAGGCGAGGTGTGGGTGAATTATTCCGCTTCCCCTTTGAAACAGCCGGTCAGCCAGGGTGTTGCCTCGTTCTCACCAGCGGGTGTTCGGGTTATGCATGGTAAACACGTAAGCCTGCATAACGATGGGGAGAAAATTAGGGAGAAGAGGGAAAAAAGAAAGGAAGGAAAAAACTGCATAGGAAGGAAGGATTCCACTCAGTCAATTCGAGTGAGAGGCGATGATCATGCACGGACCGCTATCGTGATAGATTAGAGGGTGTTTGGCCCAGGGTGCAGGAGGGCTGAGGGGAAATGGTTTGCGGCGTGGGCAAGGCCTACCTACCGGTAGTGGATAAGTTGGAAATTTGTCCCGGTAGAGAACATGTACTGTACCCGTACTAGTACTCGAGTACAGTACAGTGCCGGTACTCGTACTGTGCAATTCCACCTGGGGCACTGGGACACAGTGCTCGTCCTCGTACTTTATGATACTGTACGAGTACTGTACGAGCAAAAAAATGATTATTCCTGCGGCCCCGGAGCTCGCATCGTCGAGTCGAGACTCCTGGTGTGCTCGCGAGCCTCGCTTTCCCAGCCAGCCAGCTAGCCCAACCAGCAGCCAGCCCCCAACTCAATCCTGAGCCCGACGTTTTACACGCACCCACGATAATTTACATACAATACCCCTTCCCTCCCCCCCCCCTCTTTCTCCTTCTTTTTCCTTTCCTCTTTAATTCTCCTATTTTTTTTCCCATTTCCCTCCGGTAAAAATTTGAAAATTAAAATCATGACCACCGCAACGGCCACCATTTCTCCCGCAGCGACAATGTTTCTGCTCTCTTCTCATCATCACCATCGTGCGCGGGTCGAAGCACCGATGCCCTCGCTAACACCCCTGCCTCAGTCCCCGGAGGAGGCGGTTGCGGAGGTTGAGGCCGAGGTCGAGCAATTCCGCCGACAGCTCTACCTAAGACGGGGACTACCCTACCCAGGCCCGAAGAAGCCCATTGCGCTGCCTCGGCAAAATACGACCGTTGCTGCTCGGCAACAATACAGCTCTGACGAGTTCCCTAGAAAGGTAGTCGGGCTGTCGCCGGTTGCTACCGCTACTGTGGTTACCGGCGCTACTACTGCTATTGCTTCTGCTGCTGCGGGTATGTCTTGCTTGCTTGCTTGCGTTTGAAACGAGAATATATAGGAAGAGGAAATTGAGAGGGGAGGAAAAGATGGGGGAAAGAGAGAAACATGACTTACCCATCATTCATCCCTTCCGGGCTTCCGTCGGAGGTACTTTGTTTCCGATGAAGCCGATAAACTGGACGAGTGGGGAAGTTGTATGTAATGTCATGAGGAAGAAGGGGAAGAAAAGAGTCTTGCGAGTGCAATGCAGCAACTGACCATGGAGGTGTTTTTCATTTTAATAGCGGTTGAACTCAAGGCGGGATCCTCATCGTCCTCATCACCACCACTATCGCCGTCGTCATCAGTGACCGCCTCTGCTCATCCTAGTAGTAGCGGTAACAGTGGTGACAATAACACCTGTCTACCAAAACCATTTTCCCAATTAATGGAAGACCTCATTAGAACGCACTCGTCCACCGCCTCACCTTCTGGTCAGAAATATTCCAAAGACCTGCTGCAGGGGAGGATCGGGCATTATAAGGATGCCATGTTTGGCGGTGGGACTTACTTTGGGAGCTTCACCTGAGTTACGGTACTCTTACTTTGCTTTTTATTACCCTTCTTGGCGGGTGGCAGCGTTTCGGCGTTTCCTTTTTACCTATTCTCCCTTCTTTTGTTTCCCTTATCTTTTGGTCACGGGAAGGATTAGCTTTTTAATGGGACTTGCATTTTGCGCCTCATCGGACGGAACGGGATGGATGGTCATCGGTTGGTTTTTTTTACGTTTACTCGAGTACAGTCGCACCTCGCTATAATGGACCTCTTTGTATGAGAAACCTCGCCATTACGAATGAATCGTACGGGAATCAAGACCCCTGCTCCCATACAAACAGTACTCGCTATAAGGAATTCACTCCAAAACCTCGTTATAACGAACAAAAACCCCCCAACTCTTGGCGTTCTTTATAACGAGGTGCGACTGTACTCATTTACTTCGGTTGTACAAAAGGTGTCGTAGGGGTTGGCTTCTTCTCCCCTTTCCCCTTTTTTATACTAAAAATCTCCTGGGCGAGGCGTTTCGAGCATTTCGTTTCATTTCTCGATGGATGAGTTCATGGGTTTCCCACTATCGTTGATGGGGTTTCTTGTCTTTCTGTTATTTTTCAACTGAAAAAAGGAAAAGGCGGGAGAGATATATGTCGAAAGAAAAAAGAGGGATTATAGCTCTGGTCTTGAGCGCTTTGTACATTTACTGTAGTTAGCATTGTCATCAGCATTACCAACATACCCTGCCCGTGGTACTCGGATTTGGTTTGATCTGATCATTGTATATTAGATTTTAACATTATCGATCACACGGTAGGAATCTGGTAACAGAATCACCATCATCACTTTTGGGAGTTAAAATGATCGACCTTGAAGCGCCCCCGGCAAGGGTGGTATTGATATCAAATGTCCAACGGAAACCCCGTTCCCCCAGCCGCCACCGCCGCCAAAAACTTCTCCCTCTCAACCTCAACAGTCCCACGAACCTTCATCCCGGCGACAAGACTAGCCCCAACCCAACTCCCGAAGCTTTCCACGCCAGCGATCCTGCCACGACCACCAGTATCTCCCCCTCCCTTCTGCCCCTCCGGCGAAGCCGTAGCCTCCCTGCGCCATTGATACCCCTCTTCCACCCCTTCCTTGCCTGCGGGCATCTTCCCCTTCCCCGTCTTAACAGCCCTCCTCCCGACACGCTCCCACCCCCTGCACTTTACCAACACACGTACCTCATCAATCACCCGCTTTTTCAGGCCGGGCACATAACTCCCCCCGCCGGTGATAATGATGCGCTGCATGACGGCAGCGCGGACATCAATGGGACAGTCGCGGAGGGCACGGTACACGAGCTCTGGGAGAGCATAATCATCGTCGTCGGGATATTCGGGGGTGGGTGAGTCTGTGGTCGTGGTTGCGAAGAAGGTTTTTTCGGCGGGTGTGGCGAGTTTGTTGAAGGGGAATGTTAGTGTTTTGGGGGGTGTGGGTGTTGTTAAGGGGATTGTTATCGTTATTTCGTCTTGGTGGCGGGAGGAGGGGGATGACGATTGGCACCAGCTGGCTCTGGTGAGGATTTCTTCCACTTCCCAGTCTGCTACCGGTATCTCGTTGTCTTCGCTAGTGCCGTTGCCGTTGTCCTCGTCACTGGAGGAGGAGGAATATTCTTCTTGGAGGAATTTCCGCCAAAAGTCCCGGTATGTGCGGCCCCCGCGGCGACTGCGTTTGCCGGGGCCTACCACTCTCATTTCGTAGACTACGTTTATCACGGCCTCATTCCAGCCCACGTCCAGCACCACCCCGCTCCTGACTCCCGCTCCAACGACCGCCATAACAGGCTCTTGCATTAACATCACGGCCGGCATTTGGAAGTGCACGAATAGGCTCTTGACGACCTTGCTCAGCACACCCATGTCCACCTCCGTCTTCACCAATAACACTATCCTTCGCGTTTTCGAATCCAGCAATAAGTACTTGTTATACGCAACCCTCACACCCCGCTCGAGTGCGTCCTCGATGGTCTCCACATTGTGCCATAATTCCCCACGCGAAGCGGATGAGGTGCCCGTCGGCGAGTACCATCCCCCCAGACCCCACAGGTCGCCCGATCGCTTCCAGAATTCGGGATTGGTCCAGGGCAGGATGCAGCGCGGGTGCGGCTCGCTTGGGTACCCGGCTTGGAGGTTCCGCGTGCCGATTTGGAAGATTAAGGGGTCTTCGGAGTGGTGTAGGTGTAGGGCCGAAGATGGGGAGTAACGGGGAAGGAGGAGGCTGGTGGTGCTGCTGGGTGTGAGGTTGGTTGTGATGGTGGTGGTGGCAGTTGTGGTGTGCGTGGAGTGGCGGAGACGGTAGGGGGTTAATGGCCCGGGGGACAGTGAGGATGTCATGTTTGACATGGGAATTGGGATGGTGAAAGAGGTGATAGTCGTATGATATCAATACTATCATATCATATGATACAAGGATGAGTTGCACCCCTAGGCTTTACCCCGAAAAGTTAGACTAGGGTTCCCCGAGGGCTCTTCTCAACCGCCACGCTTGGCACTCCAAAAACACTATTTTAACCTCACCAAGAAAGAAGGAAAGAAAAAAAATTCAACACCACCATCACAACAATAATATTCCCCGCGTAATCAACCGACTACTGTAACGAATCCGCACGGAGCAGCCTACTGCAAGGTTAGTTCGTCCATCTCCGCCCTTCTACTTCCATTCATTTTTTCCCCCGCGATGATTAAGAAATGTTTCATGCACCACTCTCAGACTCCTTTTTTTTTCGAGTCGGTGATGAGAATTGAACTCAAACGATCTATATGAGCACTTTAGATACATTCCTTTACGCTTTGTCGTTTTGAAGATGGGATTTGGTTTTTGCTGATTGGGGTTTTAAGGTGTTGGTTTTGGCAGACTTGGTCTGTTCAGTTATTTCAGTATCATACCTGTGGTATTGCACGTGGGTAGCGGCGGATTGCATGGGTGTGTGGGTGGTGGTTGTATATAGAGAGGATAGATCGGGATCTCATGGTAGCAAAATATGATTCTCAGTTACAATACCAGTACCATACATCTATCCATCCATATCCGCTGTAAAAGTACATCCACTTATCCAGCCTGCCTGCCCTGCTACTGCCCCCCTTGCTTCTGTACCTGCCTCGATAATAAAAGATACACGTTCTCCCCAACCTTGTCAAAGAACTCCTTCCGCCTCATCTCCTCGTCCTCCACGCCGACGCCAATGGCCTCTCCATTGAGCGTGTCCAAGTCTCTCTTCTGCGAGCTGACCCAGCGCTTCACGAAGTCGGCTGGGTCGACGCTCATGGCATGCCAAAAGTCACGCTTCGCCTTAGAGTGGTTGATGCTCTGGACAAGAAGCGCGATTTGCTCGTCGATTGTGGAGATCTCGCGCAGGCCCTGGAGGTTCGATGGAGAGGTGAGGAGGGCGCTCATTTTGGCCCGGATGGGGTCATCGATGGAGACGGTCACGTCGTAGACTGCGGGAGAGAAGTGCTGTGGGACATCGCAGCGAATGGTGTAGTTGATTGATATGGGCTCCAGCGGGAGGATGTGCGCGAGGGTTAGCTCGGGGATTTGGGGGAAGTAGAGGCGGTCTTGGGCAAAGATCTGTTTGTTTGTAATGTTAGTAGCTATAGAGTGGCGAGAAGGAGGTTAGATGGAAACCTTTTTAAGATTCTCGTCACAATTGATGGTTCTCCGTTCGTCGGGGTCTTGAAGACCATTAATCCGTACGTATTCCCAGATTCCCATGACTATACCCGCACGAGTATCCTCCTTCGTATCTAGCAAGTCTGCGAGAGCGGAGTTTAATCTGAATCTATCCGGAACCTCGTCTCGGATAAGTTTAATGGTGCAATTGACATTCTCATCGCCCTTTCTTTCAAATTCAAACCCGTCAAATTCCAGCGGTCCCTGGGGGGCTGCGCCTGGCGGCACATTCGGTGCAGTCTTCCTCCACTCGATAACGTTGCCTTCCGGGTGGATATCCTTGTTTCTGTCAAGCTCAACGGTGATTCCTTTGAAGAAGTGCGAGAATTTCTTTTTGGGTGGCTGGATAGGATCTGTGAATCCGGGTGTGGGTTCGAGATTGAGGTCGGAGTCTGGATCGACTTCTGCCGCGTCGTCTTCTTCGTCCTCGAGTAGTTTGCCTTCAATTCTCACGCGGAATGTCGGGATCTGGCCGGTGTCAAAATCGAATGCGTTTTCGTCTAGCGGGCGATCGGAATTCTGCCATGGCTGGTCTTTTGCACTATTGGAAATAAATATCCGAAGGGTTTTGTAATTCTACAATAGTTCCCCATTAGCTCTACCTTCCCTATCATTCTCGAGGAAGACAAACCTTGACATTCCTATTAACCGCATCCTGCACATCCAACCTCTTCCTCAGAATCGTCGCATCGTACCTCCTCTCCATGTCCCTAAGTTCTTTATAAAGCGCTACATTGGGAACGATCTCATCCACACCGTCGGGGATCATCTTGTCCGTCGGCTTCCTCGCCCGCCTCTTCGCCAGCTCTCGTTCTGCCATCGCCGTCTGGTGCTGCTGGTGTAATTGTTGCTGCGAGAGCGCAGATTGGTGCGGCACTGCGGTGTTTCCAAGCATGGGGCCAGGACCTCTGCGTGCGGTGGTGGGTTGTCCGTAGCCTTGGCCATGGGAAACGCGTTGAGGGTGCGGCGATGGACGTGGGTGGTGCTCCATGTCGTTGTGCCCTAAATGAACGGGACGTGGGGAAGCTAAGTAGGTGAGTAATTGTGGTTGCGATAGTTGTGGTGGTGGTTGTGCCTTTTTTCTTCCCCCTTGCTTGTAGGGAAAGAATGTTTGGGCGTTGTGTTTCGATGATTTGGCCAAGGGGAGGGATGTGCAAGGGCGTGCTTGCCCCGGTTGGGATTTGCTTGGCGGCTTGGCGGCAATAGGGGAGCGGAAATGAATGGAAACCAAACTTGGCGGAGCCTTGCCAATACCATCGCACAAAGAAACTCCGCACAGAAAAGCTCAGCACAGAAAAGCTCCACATAAACCATCATGCCACGAGAGCCAGACGGAAAACGACGCGAAGCGACGTTGCCCGAGAGGGTTAAGGTTATCGAACTTAGGAGTGCTGGCCATAGCTATCGGTCCATCGAACGAGAGACCGGAATTTCAAAGTCACAGGCGGCAAACATATGGCGCCGGTTTACGGTGGACGACGACATCATCCCACAACTTCACAGCCGACGTGGTATGAAGTCGAAGCTTGATGAGAGGGATAAACGGAGACTGGTCCGACTATCTGATGCCCATCCTCGAGCCACTTTGCAAGAACTTGTCAAAGAGTCGGGGCTTCCAATTCATCCAAAGACTGCTGGGAAATACCTTCGAAAAGAGAATCGTTTCGTCCGGTTTATAAAGCGGAAGCCATAGATCGATCTATCGGTTAAGCAGATGCAGCAGGTGCTGGAGATGAAAGGGTTGGAGATTGGGGCGTGGAACTCGGTGTATGTGTCGAGAAAATACGATTCCACTTTAGTAGACGGTATCGGAAAGAGGCACGGAAGCGGAGGAGTATTTATGGTGATAGGGGGGGTTGGTTGTTTGGATTGGTACAGGGTGTGTGGGAGGTATTGCCGTGGGATGATATTTGTACCTGTACTTGGATGGATGGGATGCTAGGGCGTGTGATGTTCCCGCGTAATGAGGTGGGCCGAGGGTAGTAAATTATGTACTTCATTGCTACTTTTCCCGAAGATACCTTATTTTATGCGGCTCATTTCTCTTTGGTAAATTGGAGTTCTGGTGGCATCATGGTAAAAAAAATCAGACACGGCGTGCTAGGTTGAGTCTAACTTAGTGTCCAGTCATTCGTATTCTCTTATTGGGGCCAATGAGTGATTATGTGTGATTATGTGTGCAGCAGTTGACTCCACAGCAAGCTAACTTAAGGGTGGGTTTCGTATATTTGCTATTAGAATATCAGGCGATTTGGTGTTTTCTAGGTGTCCGTTATATAGCTAATATAGTCTTCTTTTGCTCTCGGTTTTATCTTAGGAAAACGGTTTAATTGGTTCTGCACTATGAGGCCTCAGCTATGAGACCTCAATTAGCTGCAGTGATGCTACTCTAGTTGAGATTTAGAGGTTCTATACTTGCGTGTGCCAAGGTTTGACGAGCAAGCTTATAGTTATGGGGAGGGAGAGGGAGGGAGAGAGAGAGCTCAAAGTAGCCTACCGGTAAGGGCGGTGAATGAGGCGTGCGTAACGGTGCATTGTAAGGAGGGTGAAGATCTCACCCATTTGAGTCGTCTGAGATGTTATCAAGTATCATAGCCGCCAATGTCATGTACCATAGTTACTCGTAGTGACTTGCTAGGCCTCATTTGAACGGGAAACCAATTGTTTGGGAACAGAGCAGCTAAAGCTCGATCGCGGTTCTTAACCACAAACTTTCCCACTCTGTGGTGCCGGGTGCCTTGGAGTTGGCCTGGTTGGTTTGGTGTGAAGGAGGTACCGCATTTGCTTCTTACGAGCACCAAGTGTGGGGGCCCTCGCCACAGGGGCTGCCATATTCTACCCGGCGTTCTAGTGCTCCATCTTGAATTTCCTGATAATGGATGCTGGTCAACCTGTATATCTCGGAATTTGGGCGTGGTGGCTCCGAAAACACGGGTAATGGGGGAAGTGGCACCCGAAATACTCACGATCACGTTTTCCTTGGGATCAATTAAGCCCCAACACTTCTAAAGTTGTTACCACCGGAAAACCGTGCCAACTCCCTGATGCAGGACAAATGAAGTGCTGCTGCTTCCCTGGCGAGACAGATGTTTGCTTTGTCAGTGGAAATATCTCCCAGGGGCTGTATATCACACATCTATTTCCTCCCAACGTCCATGGTGGGGTGGTCTGAAAGAAACTTATCCTTCGCGCCCTTCTTGTGGCCAAATATGAACTTCCAGAAGGGTGGGAGTCACTTCGGACACCTACAGTACAGTACATTACTGATAACGATACTGTATTTGTAAACTGCCAATTATTCTTGTGCTGATTTATTCCCCCCACTATTGTCGTGGACTAATTCCCACCAATTGCCCTGCAGGTTTTCATATCCAAGACCGAACCCCAGCCAACGATTTGAACCCCGCTATTGCTTATCCTATCATATATCCGTCCCACCTATAACACATGGCTTTCTTTCTTTTTTTTTGGCTGTGTGGTGATCCAGGCGATGAATTGATCATTGGCAGCCTTGCCTGGAGTGTGAGTCAACTACTGTGCTACCAGTAGGTGATATGTCTCGCGCTTGTAGGTGAAACGGTTTAGTTGGGCAGACTATGATGCTATGGCTGTATTCTCACGTCCGTGTATAGGGTGAGAGGCTATCATCAAATACCAAAGTGATTGGATGTTCCCTCGGATGGTTTGCCGACTGTCCAGGTACGATATCAACACAGTTTATGTTTGTATGCCGGCCGCGCAATTGAGGGTCGGTACCTAGTGGCTTGTTAGTTTGCTGTTTGGTCTCTTTGTGTGATTCGGAAATTTGGTCTTCTCATACTACAGTAAGAAGCATACAGTAAGTGTCCAAGCGATTGTCCCTAGTTTCCAATTTTTGATGTGATCACGTGGTTTAGTAGGGAATCTGGACTCCAATTTTCAATGACCCTTAAGTATCTGAATAACGTACAGCACAAGCACACGTTAGGTCCTATTCTTTGGATCAAGTGAGCCGATGCTTTCTCCCCGCGGTATGCTGCAAGCAGAGCATCCTTGGGCAGGGCCGCACACGGCGCGCACTTTAACGCCCAGCTCCTACCGCGCGTCCCATAAAGGCGAGATAAATGTGCTAGGCCCTCGCAGCAGCTGCCTCTCTCTTAACAAGGCACTGTTTATATTGCTTTTGTTTTGTCTCAGCCGAGGGCTGAGTTTGTGGTGTTTCTACTCGCGTAGCTAGGGAGGGAAACACCAACGTGCCCGGTCCTATCATAGCACTTCTGTGGTTCGAGTTCTTACAGAGTGCTCAGAGGATTTTTTACTAGCCAAACAGATCTCACGCCTTGCGTGAGGATTTATAACATTACTTCCCCACCAAACCGGAGGATAAGCCCGCTGCGGCTGGAAACGTCGCACATTTGGCATCAGATAGATGTCCTTCCTTTACTCAGCTGCCAAGATACCTTACCGTATTAGGGTGTGACTGGTGGCATACTCTAGTACGAGTCAGGGAGAGGTGCAATGTTACAGAAGTCAGGAACCCAGACCAGTTACTTAGAAGTTACACCTAATTGAACAAGTGAGAATCAAGGTTTTAAAAGGAATTTCCATTATCTCAATGTATTGTACTCATAAAAATCGGGTGATTTCCGAACCCCCCCTAATTGGTATTATCACGTTAGGATACTGGCACAAGTATCATACTAAAACGCTCCTTTACTACCGTATATAATGTGATACCTGCTACCTCCTGCTCTAGGACTCTAAATTACCGTGCACTATTCTTGAGTGGTATCACATCTTACTGGTTCCGTTCAATCAGCCAAAATGTCGTATGGACCCTTCCCGGATGTTTTGAACCAGGTGGCTAGTGCGTATCTTCCGCAGGGTTGGAATATTGACTGGGACAACAATAGCTTTGAAGAGAGGAAAGCTGTGTTTTTTGATAATTTATGGCGAGAATATCCTCCAAGATGTGGGTCCAATGTTCATAGACTCTATCGCAATTTTCTATACTAATGTGTAGGTTTAGCTAGCGCCGCTGATCGAGCGACCACATTTCTCACATAGAATATTGTTGGAAATTACGTTATTCCTTTCCTATCTGGTGATGGGGCTGTGTTGGTCATATGACACAGACACATGACTGAGTATATATGCTATTGTATTCTAGCATCTTCTAGAGATTTCCTTGGTATGAGGCAGTGCTCATGTAATGATAAAGGGGTATATAAAGGGCAGGTTCAGCCCTGTTCTTAGAAAGAGTGCGCAAGCTTGGATTAATCTTTAAGTCTTCAGATTTTATTGTGGTTATAATTGTTACTTTATTATCACAACAGTTAGTACAATAAATGCAAATATTTTCAGGTCATGAGTCCGGGTTTGTGAGATACTTCCGCATTCCCACTATAAACCAGAAGACCTCTGAAGTACTCTGGGCGAAGGCATCACCATCTCCCACCCTGAACCAAACCTCTATTAGTTCTTAGCAAAAGATTTCTTTTACGACGTACATGAGTGCCTAACTACCTCCTCTAAACATGACCTTCACTACTGTAAAGTGTAACATGATCGCAAGGTGCTAGTCACATTATCGGTAAATAGTACGATAGTTGGCAGATGGCCTGCTCTACCTGAGAGGAGGTGAGAGCTGAGAACTAAAAGAGATTTTAAAGGTGTACTGAGGAACAAAGAAGTAATCATTCAACCAAGTATATTGAAATACTGTCTGTTGAATTCTGCCTTTTCCATCATGGAATCAGGCGGTCTGTAAATACACAAATCTGTTCATGTCTAGCATGAACAAAACTAATCAAAGGTATCAAGCGATACTCTTTAGTAAAACAAACCAAGTATCAAAACGATACTTAAAACAAAACATAAAACAAAACTAAGTATCAAATGATACTTAAAACAAACCAAGTATCAAAGCAATATTTAAAACAAAACATAAAACAAAACTAAGTATCAAATGATACTTAAAACAAACCAAGTATCAAAGCGATACTTAAAACAAAACATAAAACAAAACTAATAACCAAGTACTTGTACTGGTTATATTCTTCAAAACAAAACAACCTTTTAAACAAACAAAACCTCATAGTCATCAAAAGCGGAGTCTGAGAAACTAAAGGCTTCAGTTTCCACTATTAGTTCTTCATCATAAGTGTTACACCAGGGACAAGAAGACATCTTAAGAAATCATCGAGACTCAAAGAAATGCAAATCACAAGAGTTACAAATACCAGATTCATGCTGTACATCTACCCAAGTGTTATTGCAATCAGGACAGTAGTCCACCCAGAGGGTAGCGAAGTAGTCTTCAAGTTGGATAACAT